TCATGATTATCTTGTGATTATTATTTGGGCACATTTGTTTCAACTCAAACACTTTGTCATGCACTTGTTATCAGCTTAATGAAAATAATGCATATCCATTCCTTTATCCTTATCTGATATTTTTATTTATCATACAAGTGAATAAAAGAAATGTGTGATTGCATTTTATTTGTCTTGAACTTAAAATGATGAAAAGAAAAACAAACATGAAAGATCTCAGCATTACTTTTAAAGTTGACAAAGGCAAATGAAAAAGGATGAAAAAGCATGACAAGACATTGATGTTGTAAACTTTTGAAGAAAAAAATATTGTGGTTAGATGTTAAGAACAGATTGGTCATATAAGAATTCTGATAAAAAAAGCCAAAAGCGAGAGATTTCGAGAACCTTTTTACTACAATGAATGATTTTGATTACATTACATGCGTTGCATTATAAGCACTCAGTATATGCATCCATGAGAAGTTGTAACAAAGATAGAAATTTCCATTTCTTAATGAAAAACAAGATTTTGGTAAAGATAATGATCAAACAAAGGAATTCAAAAGAGAGAAATTTACTTGTTCAAAGATGAGAACTCAAATTTGAAAATATATGAGATTTTTAAAGTTGTTGAGCCTCTGCTGAAAGGAGCTTTTCAGATGAGATTTTAAAGTTATTGAGCCTCTGCTGATATGAGCTTTTTAATAAATTTTTAAAGTTATTGAGCATCTGCTGAGATGAGCCCTTTTCAAGATAAGAATTTTAAAGTTGTTGAACCTCTGCCGAGATGAGCCCTTTTCAAGATAAGAATTTTAAAGTTGTGAGCCTCTGTTGAGAGGAGCTTTTTCAAAATGAGAATTTTAAAGTTGTTGAGCTTCTACTGAGAGGAGCTTTTTCAAAATAACAATTTTAAAGTTGTTGAGCCTCTGCTGAGAGGAGTTTTTCCAAGATGAGAATTCTAAAGTTTTTGAGCCTCTGTTGAGAGAAGCTTTTCTAATATGAGAATTTTAAAGTTATTGATCCTCTGCTAAGATGAGCCCTTTTCAATATAAGAATTTTAAAAGTTGTTGAGACTCTGCGGAGAGGAACTTTTTCAAGATGAAAATTTTAAAGTTGTTGAGCTTCTGCTGAGATGAACCCTTTTCAAGATAAAACTTTTAAAGTTGTTGAGCTTCTGCTGAGAGGAGCCCTTTTTCATGATATGAGATTTAAAAGTTGTTGAGCCTCTATTGAGAAGAGTTTTTTCAAAAAAAAAAATTTTTAATTGTTGAGCCTCTACTGAGAGGAGCTTTTTAAACTTTCAAAAATATTGATTGAACCTCTGTTGAGAGAAGCCATTTTCTGTCGAACCAAAAAGAAAATTTTTTTTTCTTCTTTCTCAATGTTTCATCTTTCTAAACAAAATGGTTGTTTGTTTGTCTTTATCTTATTCTTGATTCACAGAAATAGGCAAAGAGGGGCAACTGTAAACAGCATTTTTATTATTATTATTATTATTATTATTATTATTATTTATTTAATTTTTTTTCTTTTTTTTTTTTCTCGTTTTTTGCGTTTGTCTTCTTCTCTTTTCTTTTTCTTTCTTTCCTCTTTTTTTCCCTTCTTCTTTATCCTTATCTGGTTTAAATCTAGTGCATTAAATGCATAATCCCTAAAGTCCAAAATCATCGCCACTAGTTGCCAATGGTTGACCGACAAGCCGTCAATCACGAACAGCAGGCGTGATTTCTCAGTTGAAAAAATGAGATTTGAATCCCAGAAGATCTAGGATTTGAATCCCAAAAAGCTCTAGAAATAGAGCTTGTTATCTACAAACGGAAAGGCAGAATCGAAGCAAAAATGGTAAAAAAAAAGGGAAGATTCTGTCAAAAAAATAATTTCACAGAAACACAAAAAAAAGCAAAATCACAGTCTCCAAGCAGGGAACCCAGCATCAGAAAAGCTACCTACAAAAAAAAATAAAGAAATCAGTCGATTCTGTCAAAAAAAATAAAAAAAAGAGACTGAAACTTTGAGCCCCGATCTACGTCGATCGGGGCTATTTTCGATGAAAAGAAGATCGAATCCAAGAAGATCGATCCAAAGAGAACCACCAAAAGAATTTTGACATTTTTCAATGATCGAAAGCCACCGACAGCGACTGCCTGCAGCGACCCAGACGGTGGTCGACGCGGTGGTCCGACGACCGACCGGTGAGCTCTCCCCAAAGCTCTCTTCCCCTTTTTTTTTCTGAAAAACCAAAAGAATGAACAAAAAAAATTATTTATTTATAGAAAACATTAAAAGCAAAATGACGTCGTTTTAAGCATAGGGCCAAAACGACACTGTTTCGATCAATGAGGATCTGCGCGTCAACCCGCGACCCGACCTGGGGTCCGCGAACCCAACCCGATGACCCGCTTCCCAATCAACCTCTGATCGGTCTGATTGGATCGAAATCGAATCGCCCAGATCGAACCGAATCGATACTGAACCACCGAATCGAACCATCAAACCGAACCTCACGTTGACCGGACCATTGACCGGTCCGGTTTAGGTAAAAAAAAATTTTTTTTTTGAATTTTTCTTATTTTTTATATATTATTTTATTAATATTTATGCATATTAAATATTTATATTTGTTATATTAAATGATGAAATTGTGGTTAAATTTTTTTTATATAATTATGTTAATTTTTAAAATAAACTTTAAAAACAATAATATAAAAATAAATTAATAATAATACTAAAGTAATAAAAAATGTAGGAAAAGGAAATTTTTATCCGACGATAAGATTCAAAGGTATTTCGAGTAGTGATGCCTACGAAATCTCTAGGTGAGAAGATTTTTTTTAAATACTACAAGTGTATTGGAGTATTTATAAAAAATTTTCAATACAGTAAAGATTTTCTTTTTTTTCGTAATAAATAAAAATTGATTAATAAATTAAATATAAGTAATAAAAATAGGAAGGAAAGAAATTTAATCCAATGATGGGATTCTAAAAGTATTTCGAGTAGAGATGCTTTAAGAAATCTCTAGGTGAGAAGATTTTTTGTAAAATATTACCAGCGTATTGGAATATTTATAGAAAATCTTCAATATAATTAAATTCTTTTTTCTTCAAAATTTTAATTTTAAATAAGAATATTAATAAAATAATTAATAAAATTTCTAACAAAGGAGAATAAAATGTGTGCATAAATATAGTAACATTTTGCATTGCATGCATGACATTTTTTTTACAAAAAGTAAATTTGAGCCTCCGAAGATGAGATTCTAAAGTATTCCGAGAAGCGATGCCTAAGAAATCTCTAAGTGAAAAAAAGTTCTTCTAATGTTACCAACGTACTGAAACATTTTAAGAATTATTTCAATAAAAAGGTTTTAATTTATTTTTCTCGAGAATAAATTTTTTTTATAAAATAAAAATCAAAGAAATTATTTTTCGAACACGAAAATTGGATTATTTTTTATCAAAATCAAAGGATAACACGTTGTTAATTGGTACCATTTTTAATGGGCGCTGTGGGGGTGCTAATCCTTCCCCACGTGTAACCGACTCCCGAACCTAGACTGTTTCACAGACCGTAAAATTATCTTTTTAATAAATTTTAATTAATTTTAAAATTTTTTTAAAAAGATATGTTTTAGTATGTGGCAAATCGCACCTAACCAAAAAAGATTGGTGACGACTCCATTGTTTTTTATTTCATTTCTAAATTCGTCGGACGGACACAAAACTATTACGATAATTATGTCAATTTATCTATTTAGATTTTTTATTAAAGTTTTTATTAAATTAATTTTTTTAAAAAAATTTTCAAATTTCACTTAAAAATTTTCATATAAATTTTATCCTTAGGCTTTTGTCATCTCCAGGTGTTCCAGAATTCCATGTGGGAGAACTTTTATATGCTATCAATCAAGATTAAGACATGGAAATAAACCAACTTTTTCCCCCAATTTTGTTGAAGATTAATACATTTACAAGGTAATTTGATAAAAGTTAATTAAGTAATTTTTTATGACATATTTTTATAATAAAAAAATTAAAAGCATCGAGTAATTTTTGGATGTAAATAGAAGCTGCTCTTTTTCGGGGACATAAGTGTTTGAGCTGTTTAAAACCATACCCTAAATCAATTGAAAATAACGCAAGTGCCATTCATAGCTATCCAATGGACAAAAAAGGAAACTGCGTTAAGAGGTTGGGAAAGAGGAAGAGCACGTGGTCCCAAGGCCAAGACTGCCGACCGCTAACCAAAAACAAAACAAAAAAAAAAAAAGAAAAGGAAACCCCCCTTTTGGTTCACCTTCGCTCTGTCTTAACCTTTGCCTTGGCTTAAGGTGTGAAAGAAAAGTAAATTAATGGGTAGTTCATTTGTTGTTTTTTTTTTCCTTTTTAATTATAGTAGAAGAAAAGAAAAGCAAAGAAAGGGCAGTAGTAGTTTTTTCTTTCTTTAACTGCAGGTCATTTATTTTTTGGCTTAAAAATTTAATGAAAAAGGCACTGTGTCCCTCTCTGCTAGCTGCTGACTCTGCAACCTCTGCTGACTCTGATAAAGTGAGAGAGAGAGAGAGAGACTTTATGTCTTTTTATGTGATTGTGTGTTGTTTATGTTTGAGAAGGACTATTGCCTGCCTATAACCATTTCAACTGTGGCACTGAAAAACATGGTGTTTTTATATGCATTTAAAATGACACAGATGCAATGAAAATGACATTCCTTCCCCCCCCTTCCCTCTCTCTCTCTCTCTCTCTCTCTCTCTCTCTCTCTCTCTCTCTCTCTCCATCCTCACTCTTTCTTTTCTAGCATTGAATTCGGGTTGAATACATGGGCCAGTCAAGCTAAAATGGTCCCAATAAATGTACAGGGGAGTTTCAGTAACTCATTGGTCATCATTTGTGCTTCATTAAGAAGAAATTGCAATTGCATAAACTTTCAAAAGACAATGCTTAAAATCAAACAAGCATTGTTTTTTAACTCTTTCTTTTTATCTTCTCATTATTTTGATGGTTGTGACAAAAAGGAAAGCAGCATCAACTGACTAAAATAAGGAAAGATAAAAGATGAAACAATGAAAAGAAAACAGTGTAAATGCATTTCAACTAACGGTCACAGGCCAAAAGGACAGAACATTACAACTCAATTCAATGAGTTAATCGTACCATGATCAGGTTTCAAAGTGGCAAGATGCCCAATCTAGGATTATTCAATACAAGTCATATATAGCTTAGTGAATAGTGAGGTATGAATATTCTTTGTGGAATAATCTACTTCACTGCATTGCACTTGTAAATTGAATCATCTACTTTTCTATTAAACAAATGAAGATATCAAAGACACGATATTAGTCAGAAGAACTGAACTACTTGACACAGCAAAGAAAAACTCAACATGCAGATCGAAAACAAAGAGATTTAAGGGCTAAAGATCGATCATTTTCATTGCATGATCAACTTGCCGTCACTCTCCTTCCCCTTCTGTTGTGGCTGAAGACATGTAACTCATAGCAAGTGAGGTCTCATCAGCTGGAACCGCAGCTGTTGATATTTGGAATTGATGCTTGCAAGCTTGACAAGTGATCCGCATGATAGTAGCACTTATCTTCTTTGTCGCCTGATCTTTCAAGATTTGAGCCTTCTCCAGTACATCTTGTGCTTGTTGCCTTATCCTTTTAGCACTTGCAAACTCAAGCTCAGCCATCTCAATCTGCCTCTTTGCTTCCTGTCTAGCCTTTTCGGCGTAGGCCGTCTCAGCCATGGCCAACTTTAGTTGCTCACTTGCAAACTCTTTCAACCTAGTAGCTTCCAATGCTGTTTCACTGGCATTCTTTTCTCTACATGTAGCTAAACTAAGCTTGTTGGATTCACACTTTTCACCACCGTCACTTGACCCTATTGATAGCTTCAAATGAGTTCCATAATTCTCATCTGAATTCCGCGATAATTGAGTGCTTGGTGATGGTAGAAGCTGAAGTTCAAGATTGTGCTGCAGTTGGTGCTGGTGGTCAGAAGTAGACACATGATTGTACAAGAAAACAGGCTCAGTTGATTTTGGCATTGGCAATCCAGGCAACGGGGCAATGCTAAAGTTGGCATCGCTCGACGGACTAGTGTTTGAAGCCGTTCGAGAGGAGCACGCCGGCTGCAGTGCCTGCAATTCAGGTTGGACTCGTCGAACATTGCAATTATCTTGGTGCTCAATGAAACTCTCCACCCTGAAACGACAAAGAGCAAAAGAATGATTCAAAAGAGAATAAATAAGCATTTGGATTGTTCCTGTTGTTTTTAATAATCAAGTTTGGATGATATAAACCACGTCAAGGAAGCAATCAAGTCTTGTTCATGTAGGGTTAGAAAGGAACAATGCAATATAAAATTGATTTAAGTATTCTATAGTATGGATTCTGTGATAAGGTTTACTATATTAAAACACTAAATTAAACAAAAGAAATGAACTGGCCAACTGGGGTCTGAGATCTTGGGTGTCTGCAAATGACTGTTCTGCATTACGGGTAATTGGGTTTCCATTAAGCAAAAAAAAAAAAAAACCTGTGTTATTAGGAATAGTGAACGCACTGCATGCCCTTAATCTTTTATTGGCTAAGCCTAGATCACAAGCAAATGGAAACATGAGGTCATTTTGCACTGTGAAGGAAATCATTCTTGGATTTTTAATCAGTTAGATTTTGTATAGCTCTGGGAGAGGATTGTGAAAAACCCAACAAGAACAAGAGTATACTTAACAGTTTGAAACTTTGAAAAATCAATAGTTGGGGGTTTTGTTTCTTTAGGATAGCTTTTGTGGACATTTTAGGGTTTAAAAAAAAAAAAAGAAAAGCTATCACAAAAAAAAAAACATGTGGATTGGTTTTGAAAATGTAATCCAAAGCAAGGAGGAGAGAGAAGGGTAATAAAGAGGGAGTTGTTTTGTGATTTCAACAAGGGAAACTGACCTGGAAAAAACACGGCCACAATCACAAGAATGGCCTCTGGTACCACAAGTCTTGAGATGAGCCTTGTAATCAGACTGAACAGCATATCCTTTACAGCACTTATCGCAAACCCACTGTTTCTGATTGCTGTGCTTCCTCCTGAAATGTTTCTTTATGCCAACCAGATCTCCCAGGGCATGGCAAGGGTCATGGTGCAAGCAGCTTGGTTCAGGGCAAACATATACCCTCTTCTTCACCTCTTGTGTTTCCCTTTTCAGCAACTTCCAAGGCACCTTGTGCCTCCTCCTATGCATTTGAAGGTTCTGGTCTCTTTGAAACCCCTGATTGCAGATCTCACAAACATATCTATCCGATTCCAACAACGTCTTTGGAGATAAAGAAACCACCTCTGCATCTGGATCTATATTCACAATCACAAACATTAAAAAAAAATCAGAAATCAATTGAATTAAGAGGAACAATAATAGGGTATTAAATATGTATGTAATAGCTTTAGTTTTACCTGGGGTGCCCGCTGGCTTTCTTTTTCTTTTCTGGGTGGCCTCGTTTTCCAAAGGAGTGAGAGGATCAGAGGAGGAAGATGGAAGGGCAGAAGAAGTAGTGTTTTCCAACATATTGTTTTTGGTGTTCCTTGGCAGACTATATGTTGTTGCCTGTTGGAGATTGTTGGTGATGTGAGTTTAAGTGAAAACAAGTCAATGAATCTTTTAGCTGTACAGGTGGTGGAGTTGGAATTGTGGGAGGGGAAGGGAAGGAATTCAGCTTTACTTTACTGATAACACAAAGGAAAATGGGCAGAGAAAGAAAGGTGAGGGGGGAGGGAACATGAAGAAGAAAAGCTATTGCTTTCTGCTTTCTGCTATCAGCTTTCTTTTAAGCTTTAAGACCCTTTTTTTTTATATTATATATATATATACAAAAAAAAAAAAGCCCTTTTCTTTTTAGCTTTTTTTTTTTCTTGATTTGGTTGTTTCATTGAGCAGGCATGGCTGAGGCAAGTCTTGCTTATAAACCTCCCTCTACAGTACACCTTGGGAGAGAGAAAAAAAATGATCCAATCACAAATGCTCGAGAGGGTTTCAGCCCCACACACTCATAATAAATAAACACAGGCAATTGGACAGAAACAAAAAAACATCCCCTTCACAAGAAAACAGTCATTATTCATGTCACACAGTAATCTGCATGTATATATATTCATATTATATACTTATGTGTGTATATATATATATATATATATATATATATATGTATATATGCAGTGCAGGCCACATCTCTCTTCCATGTGGCCTCACCTAACCTTTCTCTTTGCCTTTCTTTGGTGAAAAAAAGTTGAGCTAAATCTGGGATAAAAAAATGGATTATTTGTTTGATTAAGCAAAACTGTAACTTTAATGACAGCCAATTACAAAAACCTGATTATTACTAGTGTTTTTCTTTCATGCAGCTTTTCTAAAGGTGAAGGAAGCAAGATTAGTCACTTTCAAGAGGGCTGTAATCATTTCTAGAAGAGATTGTCCCCCCAACTTTCAAATTGGCAATAAACTCTTGCATTTTCCTCATTATAACTCTTTCTTCAGTAAAGAAAAATAAATATTGGAATCCTAATAATTCTAGTTGGCAGAAAGTTACTGTTATATCACTTAGCTAATGAGTCCAAAAATTTATTGTGACATATGTACTTATATTATGTGATTTTGCATATTGAAATATAGAAGATTTAAAAATTTTCTTTAAAATAAACCTTATTTATTTATCAATTTTGTTCAACTTTGAGTTAAAATACAAGTACAAAATTCAATATATAATTATGACAAATAAGATATTTATAATAAAATTATAATTATGCATGCAATCCAAAAAAAAATACTTACCAGCAATAACGTAATCTATTAATAAAATATTAAAATTTTAATTTTACTAATAATTCTTTTGTCAGGAGATTTGACAAAAATATATATCACTTACAAAATTTTTTATTATAATACTATAATTATCCAATTATAATACAAAGTTATTTAAAGTTTTACTATTTATAAGTGTAAAATTTACATAAAATTATAATGAGTTTGATATAATTTTAAATTATAATTGATTAATTATATTACAATAATTGTAAGTAAAATGCTTCCATTCGAAAAGAAGGACAACATTCTCTCTTTGTTTTGAAACTGGTTTCCTCATGTCAAAGTATGAAACAAGCTATGGTTCTAATCTTTTTTGCTTGATTGATTTGAAGTACGTTAAGAAATTACTACTTTATACGAAAAAATAACACTATATAAGATCATATGAGCTATTTATGTGAGATAGGCTTGCATGAGTTCTACCTCTTAAGGTCCTCCTATCTAAGATCATTTGGCATGCCAAGTTATCAACCTATGATCTTGGGAATTTCTTATTTTTAATTGTGTCACACTTATATTATTTTGAATCTTTAGATTAAACTTAAATTCATAATTCATTTAAATTAAAATAATATTTTTAAATTTAATAATTTTGATTTAAGAATTCAAAAAGTATAAGAACTACACTAATATAAATAAATCCTTATTTTTTATAATTTATATAATTATAATTAATTCAAGTGATATTTTGTAGGTACATATTTAGTTTAGAGTTTTTTATTTAATTTTATTTGACATTTATACGAGTAAAATTTGTTGGTCCTTTAGTTGTTATAGTTTTTATAAGTGTAATTTTTATAGTAAATTATGGTTGGATGAGGGATTTTTTTTCTTGTTTTGTATATTGGAATTTTTTTTTTTGTTTTTATATTTGGTTTTTTAAAAGTTTTATAATGATTATTAAATAAAAAAATATTTTATTGGTAAGTTTTTAGTTTTAGTTCTTATGGACCAGTTGGGTCTTAATTTTTATAAGTGCAATTTTTTTTTATTGATTTTATGATAAGTTAGTGTTAATGAGTATTAAGATTTATAAAAAGGGGTATTATGATAAATTATTTAATTATTTTAGTTTATATTAATTTAAATCATATTATAAAAAGGAGTTATATACTTAATTTTTTTTATGGACAGTTTCTGAAAATATACCATTTAAAATTATTGTACTACACTTAATTAATTACAATTCAAAATTATATAAAATTCATCAAAATTTAAAAAATAGCCTACATTTATAAGTAATGGCTCTCTATATAATTTTTTTTTTTTTGTAATTAGACAATTACACTTAACAATTCATATATTCGGTTATATAAAATATTGAAATTCATGTATTCATATTTGTTTTACACGAAAATTATATGTTACAATTTATCGATACAAAAATATGAAATTTTTTTTTTTTGTTAAACTCATATATAATTATTGTTAAAATTTTAAATCATGTCACTTTATGTCTTTTTTTATATTTTATTTATATTATATCATCGTATCATATATTAAATTATCAAATAAAATTAAAATAAAAAAGCACTTGGCAGCTTCTATATTTTAGTTCATTATTAATACATGTAACACTACATCAATATTTGTAGACACTCAATTTGATTCAAACTCAGATCAATTGGGTCTGGTTTAATTGGGGCAAATTGGCCCAAATTTTTTTATTAATTTATTTGTTATTTTGTTCTATTATTGTTCTAAATTTTATTTTAATTATTTATCTTTTTATTACTATTATTTTAGGAGATAATGATTAAATAAAATTAAAAAATGTTAAAAATTTTGAAAAGAGGTAAAAAAAAAAAGAAGGTTCTGTCGATTTATGGCAGAATCATAGATGAATTGAATTTCTATGAGATAAGGCAGAAATATTATCAAAATGGGAGTTAGAGTTAATAAAAAATTCTTCTGATAAAACTCTATAAATACCTATTGATCAAAGGTCAAAAGACATAGGAACACAAAAAACACAGCAAGCAAAAAGTAATAAAAAATTTCAAAGATTTTTTTATTTAGAGAAAAGAAGGGATTTTTTGAAAAATCTAAAAAATCTCAAATTTTTAAAAAAATTTTCAGTTTTAGGTGAATTTTTGGCATCGGTTGAATTTTTCGACGAGTTTTTTAGCGTCAGTTGAATTTTTCATCAAGCTTTCTAGAATCCGATTGAAGATTTCAACACCGATTAAATTTTTTGATGATCGTCCGATGAACCAACACAGATTACTGTGATATTCCCCAGAATCCAGTTGATATTCAATCGAAGTTCATCCGATTTCTAGAGAGAAAAGAGAGAAAAGAATGGGAGAGAGAGATAAAAGAAAATAAAAGAGAGAAAAAAAAGAAAGGAAGATATGAAGCAAAAAGTCGAGCATTAACCTTTTATACCATCACAAAACGGCGTTGTTTTGCATTAAGAGACTCATTAGGATCCACACATTTTCATTCGAATGATCCGACTCGTAGCACTAACCTGTTTTAACCTGCCCCGCAGACCCTGCTACTGAGCCAAGCTGAGCTGAGCTATTTCTCTCAAGCTGCGTTTCGAGCCATTGTCTGTGCCTTAAGCCGAGCCGTTCTGCAACCGTCGAGTAGAGCCGAGCCGTTCCATTTTTTTGGTTTTTTTTGTAATTTTATTTATTTGTTATGTGTTTATTTATTTTTATGAGTATTTTTGCATGATTAAATTTAGAAAAAAATAAAAAATAATAAATTTTGAAAATAAATATTAATTATCCAATGATGAAATTTATAAAAATTTTAAATGGTAAATTTTTATAAAATTTTTAAGTGAAAAATTTTGTCAAAATTTATCCCAAATTGTGAAATAATTTAGATAAAATTTCAATAACAATAATTAATATTTTTTTCAAACAAAAAAATAAAAAATAAATTTTGGAATTAAATACAAATTACCTAAGGATGAGATTCTTAAGAATTTCAAATGATAAATTTTTAAGAAATCTTTAGGTGAAAAATTTCTCTAAATTTGTCATAAATAATGGAATAATTTATATGAAATTTCAATAAAAGTAATTGTATTCTTTTCAAAATAAAATTTTTTGGATTGAAAATATTTGATAATTATCTAATGATGAGATTCTTAAAAATTTCAAATGTTAAATTCTTAAGAATCTCTTAATAAAATTTTTTTAAAATTTATTCCAAATGGTGAAGAATTTAAATAAAATTTCAATAAAAAATAATTGTTATATTATTTTCTTTCCGAAAATAAAAAAAATTTTCTAAATAGACCCAGATGATGAAAAATTTAGAAATTAAAAAAAATATTTTTAAATTGACCCAAATGGTGAAAAATTTATAAATCCAAAAAGAATAATAAATAATAAATTTCTAAATATGCCCAAATAGTAAAAATGTAAAAATTCAAAACAAGAAAATATTTTTAATTTAGCTCAAATTGTGAAATAATTAGATATATTTTCGACAATAAAAAATAATAATAAATAAATCTTTTTTCGGGCAACAGAACCTCTTCAAGGATATAAATAGAATCCTTGAATACTCTTGAGGTGATGTAATATTTTTAAGAGTTTTGTCAGATTGATGAAGAATCTTAAAAATTATTTACAATATTTTAACATAAAATTTAAAACCATTAGAATCAAAATCTTAAGATAAATTCAAAATAAAATGGTACCATCATTTGAATGAGCATGTGGAGGTGCTATAACCTTCCTCACATGTAATCAAATTTTTAAATCATGTTCTGATTTATAGACCCGAATTTATTTTTTTAAAGATTTTTAGTCAAACTTAAGAGCTTTTTAAGAGGATAAATTCCTCATAGGGTAATCACTTAAAAAAGATCAGTGACAACTTTATTTATTAAATTTAATTATAAATTTATGAATCTATATATATTATGACAATATTAATTAATTTTAAAATATTATTAATTTTTGTTAGGTACAGCACAAACCAAGTTCAATGACTTTCACTTTAGCTTTCGTTTTCTCATGAAGAAACTATC